CAGCCCGTGCGTAGTGCCGCGACCGAGGCGGCAGCAGCTCCGCCTCGCTCAGCCGCCACCAGCAGTCGGACCTAACGCATGTGGATTGCCTCATTGAGACCTCATTGGTGTCAACGAAGACTCCGCCATCAACGAAGACTCCGCAGTCGCACCCGTGCGTCGACACGAGCGACGCCACGTGCTCCACCGTCTCCTAAGAAGCCGCCATTCATCACTCACCACAACATGGACTGACCAGCAGGCGCCGCGTGCTCCACCCTCTCCTCGGTGAGCAGCGCTTCGCCCGTCTCCACGTGGTAGAAGGCCGGGAGCGGCACGCCCCACGACCGCTGCCGAGAAAGGCACCACTCCGTCCGGCCTCGCACAAACGCCTAGGTTGAATTGAGTCGTCGGGCAGTCCATTCGTAATGGCCACCACTCTGTCCGTCCTCGCACACACGCCTCGAGGCGCGCGCGGCCGGCGGGCGGCCGCATCTCCACCGCATGCAGCGCGGCGAGCGCCTCGCCGCGCAAGTCGCCCAGCCTCACAAACCACTGCGGCGTCGTGCGGAAGATGACCGGCGTCTTGGAGCGCCAATCGTACGGGTAGCGGTGCTCGTGCCGCGCAGCAGCGAGCAGGGAACCGCCCTCGCGAAGCGCAGTCAGCACCGCCTCGTTCCCGTCATCCAGCACGGACTCGCCGGCAAAGCCCGCCGCCTCCTCCGTCGCGGCAGTGAAGCAGCCCTTCTCATCGACAGGGCAAGCGGCGGCCAGGCCGTGCGCGACGCCGACCGCAAAGTCCTCTGGCCCATGCCCCGGCGCCGTGTGGACCAGCCCGGTGCCCGCGTCGTCCGTCACGTGCTCCGCATGCAAAACTGGCACCGGACGCGCCGAGAGCGGGTGCGCACAGTGTCGGCCGATCAGCGCGGCGCCGGGAAGCGTCGCTGCCACCACTAGCGGTGTGCCGAGCGCCTCGCTTAGAGCGTCGACGAGCGAAGCCGCGACCACGAGCCGCGCGCCGTGGGGGAGGGGCGAGGCGTTGAGGTTTGGGGGGGAGTCGCCAGGCTGAAGCTCGGGCTTGCCAGACTGCAGCTCGGACTTGAGTCGC